CATCCATGAGGTAGCATAGTTAATGAGTATGTGATAATTTAGATAACTTCAGCGGTTATTCAGTCCCATTTGTTCACAGTGTAGTTGAGGTACACCTCATCAACTGCAGGATATCAGGCTTGGCCTTGTGATTCTTTTGGCCAATGGATGTTTATAGTCTTGAGGTGAGCAGAAAACTTAAATAGTCTTAGGTTCTTAATTTGATGTGGAATCTCAGTAACATTTCATGAGGTGGAACAAATACACATAGAACAAACCTGAACCTAACCCATGGTCTTGACCCAATACAGAAGAGTCATCCAGCTCAACCCAATTTATTTATTTATTTATTTGTTTGTTTGTTTTTTTGCTCAACCTAATTTAAATCAGCTGACCTCCATTTGACCTGCATTTGACTTCCTTGCACACGTGGATAAATGCTTGTTTCTGTAAGCCATTGACTTTGGTTTATCTGTTACAGAGCGTTATTGCAGCAGTTACAGATATATAGACAACATGTTTTTTTTTCTTAATAACATTGAAAAATACATTTGAAACTATAAATAAACACAAGACTGAAGAGAAAGGATACAAAGCATATTCATGTGGATTTTTATTCCTGGCTCAGAGACTGTACTTTGACCAACTGGCTCACTCATTGCTCACTTAGAGGAACTGGACAGTGGTATAATTTACAAATAAATTCTGGTTGCAAGAGTGAGTTAGGCTAAGATAAAATTGTATGGAACCGCTGTGGTTGCCAAGTGTAACCTAAACACTAAAGCTTTCAGCATTGTAGTTCAACTTCTGCCTCTGCCCAATCCTTCCTCCTTCATTTGTCCTATGGATGTTTTCCTTGAAATCACTTCCCATAAACTACCTGCATGCAAATCTGCATCTCAAGTCAATTTTCCAGGAGGCTGATTTAAGACAGTAAATTGTAGGTGGAGTTTTATCTTTATATATCAATAATAAACAGTGAATAGATACTTGTTTTCTACATACTCTGCTTTTGTCTTTCTGCATCGCTTTCTTACATGCATGCATGTACAACACACACACACACACACACACACACACACACACACACACACACTTAGCAAATTCCTGAAATGATGTAAGAAATTGTTGAAATGGAAATTGAAATAGGAGGTTTGTCAATTAGAGGACTTACTTTTCTCTTGCACCCTTTTTAAAAAAGTTCTGAGTTTACATTGCTTTTTTAATAAAAAAAAGAACTTGAGAAAAGATTTTAAGAGCAAAAATAAATATGATAAAAAACATCCTACAGTCTTGATTAGGGAAGAAAACTACTTCAAAAGATCTACTATTAACCAAGTAGTTTTGCCGAGGACATAGGGTTCAATTGCACAAAATTCCTTAATATTTAAGTAGTAAGTGTACTTAAGGGTATAACTCTAAAATACACAGTCTAAGCAGTGTAAGCAACAAAATTTCTTGTTCCCAAGTAATATTATTTTTATTTTAGCAACATAGGAATAATATAAAGAATTGCAATGTGCAAAACTAAATAAACATTAAAAATATCACTACCAATCCCACTACATAATAAGTAACTTAACTCTAGAAATCTTTTTATGTAAATACAGATGGAAGCATAGATGTATAATTTGGCAAAAGTAATTTTAATTAGATCAAATTCTAGACCGAGAACATTAAATTAAAATGTATTTGACTTTAAGAGAAAAATTATAGTGATATTACGTCACAAAATTTCTCTAAGCTTAAGAAAAGTGATAATGAAAAGTTGGAATCATTCTTAAAAGTTAATTCTTTCCATTTTAAGCAATATTAGTTCAGGTTCCGTAGGGAAATGAGGCTACTACTAGAAAAAGTGAACACTTTTTGAGTGATAAAGTGTGCCCAGAAGTATTCTAAATGCCGCGTATAAAATTATGTCATTATTAACACCACCATATAGATAAATCACTTCCAATGCTTTTAGATTGAAAAAAAGACTAAGGCACAGAAAGTTTACATGATTGCTTAGGGCCACAACACTAAAGAATTCAGACCTGGGTCCAGAGCCTTGGGCCCTTGACTTCACAGTGAGGCCCACAGTGGGTAGTTGAAATTATTGTGTATGGTCAAGCTGTATGTTATTTCTATGATTTTCCATATCACTGTTGATGACCATATTAGTTTAATCTGTATTTAGGTAGATTTCATGCCCATCCTCAGTCTACTGACATGAATTTTCCACTTCTGTGTTCTATAATTTGTTTTTGTCTTTACTCTCTTACCACACAAGTTCTATATTCCTGGAGCTCTTTCAGATTTGAGAAGTTTTGTTTGATGTTCTGACATCTTGGTTGAATATAATCTTCTTGGGCCATATGCTTTTTTTCCTTTTAAAATTTTCCTTTATATATTTCTCCACTGTGTTTTGGACTGGATCATGCTGTGAGAAAATAAATACAGCCTTAGTTTTGTCTTCTTTAGAGAGGATTTTCTTTTTTCTACCTGATGCCTGAAAAATACCTTCTGTTTCCTTCTGTTCTCCTCCCGTATCTTTCTTTTTCTGCCTCTCCCTTTCTTGTTTTTTTTTTTTTTGCCTTTAAAAACATTATTTTGTTAAAGTATGGCTTTGTATTGATTTTTCAGTGTAAACTTTTATCTGCAAATTTGTATCTTTGCTGGACTCATTCTTTATTTGAGAGATAGTTTTTGATAGTAATTTTTGGGAGATTTTGTTGTTAGATGAATTAAGTTCACAAGTTCCAGGAATTGTGGATATCTGTGTTCTATATTTATTCATTCAATACTGACATCTTTCTTCTGTTCTTTAATCTGGCAATTTTTTTTTTTTTGAGACAGGGTATCACTATGTAGTTGAGACTGACCTGGAACTCACTATGTAGCCCAGGATGGTCTCAAACTCACAGCAATCTCCTGCCTCAGCCTCCCGAGTGCTGGGATTACAGGCATGCACCACCACACCCAGCTTTGGCAATAGTTTTATTGGTGATTATTTCAATTTATTCTATTTCAGTAATTTATATTTAACCTGTCCATTAGATATCTAATAACATAACATGAATTATCTATACCTATAATAATGTTGTTTTGGCTTTAGTTGAAGTTTTATAATCATTTATTTCTTCATCTTCTTTACTTACCTTACTTTTAGTTCTTGTTTTATTTACTGATAGATTGTCTTTCCATTCCTTTCTACCTCATTTGTATTATACAAAACTTATCTTTGCTGTAATATAATTATTTGTTGGTTCTCATAAGGAAGTGGATTTCTTTCTTTTCTATGACACAATTTAGAGACAAGGCATGATAGGAAGAAAGGATTGCTCAGAAGAAATGATGTTTTGAATTGTAACAGTATTTAGGCTCTGCTGTCATATCTCAGATTTTCTTAGTGTTGAGCTTATCTGTGATGGAAAGTCATATATTATAACAAGTAATTTTCAGACCTTGGAGATTTAATGCAACAACAGATTATTGTAATTGGGCATGGTGGTGCATGCCTGTATTCTTTTTTAATTCAGCTTTAATTGAGTTTATTGGTACATTTTAGGGATACAGTACAGTTACATTCATTGTTGGGATCTTGTACCTTTACATGACAAGTCTTGGTTCTCATTTTTTCCCCTTGTCCCTTCCCTCCCTTCACCCCCTCCTCCCCTCCCCATCTACAAACACTTTATTTCCATCTTTTCATTATCTCACATTTTTTTCTTTTCCCTTTTCACCCTTCCTCTACCCGTCCTACCTTCCCTACACCTTTAGCTCCTTTCTTCCCATTTCTCAATGTCAGTAATCTTATTAGGATCTTCTGTATTATTGCAGATTATTCACACCAGAGAAACTATTCGGAATTTACACATGTGTGCCTTATGGTGCACGCCTGTATTCTGAGCTACTCAGCAGGGTGGAGTAAAAGGATCACAGGTTCAAGGCCGGCCTGGGCAAATTAGTGAAACTCCATCTCAAAAAAACAGAACAAAACAAACAAACAAACAAACAAAAACCAAGAAAGAGCTAAAGGCATAGCTCAGTGGTAGAGCATCCCTGGGTTTGATCTCCAATAATAGAAAAAAATGTTTATTGTAGTTTATTATGTTATAGTCTAATGAAGGTACTGTGGAGGAAAGGGTTATTTAGGAACTAAATCTCTTCTCTTTTGTGAGGCTATCATCTTCAACACATGGCCTCCAAGGCCACTGTGGAAAGAGAGGACAACACGGAGCACCTCGTATAGATCTGGAAGCGGCATTTGTAACTATTGCCAAATTCTATTTGCAGAAACTCAGTTTCACAGCCCCAGTGTACTTCTAAAGCAGAATGGATATGAAGAATAGAAGCACGCTCATGAGGAAAACTACATGAATTTAGTGAACACATAATATTGTTTCTATCATAGGTTTATTCCTGTTTTGGCACTCACAGTGCAATTGTAAAGAATGAGCCCCCTCCAGCTTCAAATGAGTTCTTCACCTTAGAGTCACTCATTGAGTTTGAGTCGATCTCATGGTTTTTGGAAAAATACCCAGAAGTATGGCTGAGTTAAATGGAATTTTTAGTTTTAGTTTTTTGAGGCATCTCCATACTGATGTCCATAGGAATTGTATTAGCTTATTCAAAAATTTTATGAGGTACAGAAGAGGGTCATCTGTTAAATTGAAATTCAGTAAAAAGTGGAAGTCAATATTCTTAGTTATTCATAGAATTATATGCATTTTAAATCATTAAAACATTTGTATTTGTACAGAAGCTTTTCAAACATACCTTCTGCATCATATTAGTTCTGTAAAATGGCTTGCTCCTTGAACAACTTTCTGTTTTTAAAGCACCTTTTTGACCAATGTAGTATTTATTTAGGTGCAGCTAAACTGCACTGCAAGCAAAGAAGACCAGATGCCTTTACGTATTACCAATCCATGATGTTCCCACCTTTCTAGTTACAGCTATGAAGACAATGTTTATTGTCTATTCATTTCAATTATTACATTAAACAATCATTGCACGAAACAAATTCTCTCTTGCAGGTCTGGACTTCCTAACTCCTGAAAGAGAAGCTAAAACACCAGGAATACAAGCAACCTAGATCTTATGAGGAAAGATGGTATGTCATGACCTGATAGGTCCTTAGTTCTACAGTAGTGTGTAGCACTCTGGGCCTAATCATTTGACAGTGAAACCATTCAACATTAATGCTGTTTAAGTTCAAATTTTTCTAGCTTGTTGTTTATATCTTATTTGTATGCCTTACTTAATAAGAACTCTTAAGTTTGATATGTCAAAGCAATTCCTTGTTAGAGAGGAGTTGGCTCTTGCAGTGGACAAAGGCCATTACTGACCCAAGGAAAGATGGCCTGTTTGAATAATTATACAGCTCGTCCTGCTTTCAGATTTGACATTATTACTGGATCATTCATGAACTAGCACTTTGCATTTCTTCTTAATCAGATAGCAAGTAAGGTAAGTAACTTCTTGGTGGTGCTCTGAGAACTCCCACACCAAAATGTCAATCTGCCACCTCCAATTTCCATTTTAACCTCTTCAACTTTACTCACTAATGTTACGAAAACTGGTCTTTCATACCTCAAAAGTAAGGAGATTTTGAGAGAAGGAATCAGTGGGTAACAAGTTTTTAATTACAGAGGATTATAGGTCAAAGACTTAATGGCTTAAAGAAACTATTTATAAGCTTATGCCACGTGCCTAAGATGACTGACAACAACAATGATGGTGATGATGGTTGATGGCAACTAACTTGTAAGAAGCAATTAGGAGGAAAAGGGCTAAAGGTGTAGGAGAAGTGGGGGAAGGGTAGGGTCAAGGTAAGAAGGGAAAAGCAAAAATAGGAGAAAAGTAAAAAATGGAAACAAAGTTTTTGTAAAGAAGGAAGGGAGGGCAGGGGTATGGGGAAAAATGACAACCAAGATCTGTCATGTAAAGGTATAAAATCCCAATGATGAATGTAACTGTACTGTCTATCTAAAAAGTACCAATAAACTCAATGAGAAAAAAAGGAGCAATTACAGAATGCCAGGCACATTGTGTAGAATTTAACATAGATTATTATATCTAATCCTCACATCAGAAAATGTGCTTTCATTATTTGTTTTTAATGGGTTGTGAAATAGAGAAACAATAAAGAGCCACATGTTTTTGGGCTGAGAATCTAACTTTGGTTTTCTGACTGTTGTTAAAACTCCGACATGTTCTGTGAGTGTCCTGGGCTGCGGGAAAAAAAGCACAAAGAATAAAGGCTGTCTTGGCTGTCTCACAATTCTCTTCCTATTCCAAGTTTCTTAAAATGGCTTCTCTTGGGGCCAAGAGTGAAGCTCAGTGATTTAGTGTGTGGTTAGTGTGCACAAGGTCCTAAATTCAATCTCTGGTACCAGAACAACAAACAATAAAAATAAAAAACAGGCTACTCTCAAATTCTACTTTCCAGAAACCATTTATTGATGACTGACTTAATCTTGGGACGATGTTTGATACTGTAAATATAATAAAAATTGTAACATAGTCTCTTTTCTGAAGCAATTCATGACCCAGTGGAAAAATTAGTAGATAAACAAAGAATTAGCAATGCAACATGGTGAGAACCACATGGGAACAAGCAAAGAGTGTTGGGTGTCTCCCAGCTGGCCCTGGAGGAGTTTTCACACCTGACAGTGGTGACACCACACTATGATTATCTTACTTTAGAATTCCTCCCTTCCTTTTCTTCTCTCTTTGTCCCATTATTTTACCTAATAGTGAATGCAACTAGATAAAAACATCCATGACAGCCACAATGTGGTTAAGAGAGCAACCTCTGAATTACGGTTCACTTTTTCCATGCTAGCTGAGTGATCTTTGGAAAAGTATTTAACGTCTTAGAATTCATGGTTCTCAGTTGTACTTCTTAGTTTTGCTGTGTTAAGAGAAGTAAGGTCATTACCCTTTAACCATCTTTCCTTGCTGTATTTTTCAGCATATCCCTCACTACCCATCAGTTTGTTTGGCTTCTCTCACAGGGATGGGTACACTCCATGGAACCAGAGATAGTGTCTGCTCTCTTCAATGCTATACCCATGCTCAAGAATAGTGTTTGATATTTAGTAGTTTAATAAATAGGTGCATAAATGTCAGCAAAGTGCTCAGAAGTATCTGGCCCATAATAAACCTTCATTCAGTAAAAGAAATTTTTGTGGTTATGATCGTTCCCTGACACATTTGTGTTTCGAAAGTGGCAAAGCTAGATTAGTTGCAAGGGAGAATTGGCTAACACTGGTGTTGTTTGGTCATTTTTTGCCCATTCCTATTTTTCATTATCTTCAGTAGCTTGTCTAATATCTGAAAAGATATTAAGTGATAGGTATCCTTTACACTGGTATTTAAGAATTAAGAAAACAATGCCTGAACACGGAATAAATCAAAAACAGAAGAAAAAACCCCTTACTTGTGTAATTTAAAATTTGTTGTTGAAATCATGGTGCCAGCAATGGAGGAATTTTGGGAGAGGAGTAGAAGCAAAACTCAGAAAAGCCCCAAGGGAATTGTCAATGTTTTTGACCCCTCTGAACCACTCAAATTATAATATTAACCTGCTACATTCTGACTGTAACACAATCAGATAATGTTCTGTGTGTCTGTAACGTTTTCTACTTTGAGATTTGAGTACTGTCGTTGCCCTGAAGAACAGTCTCCTAAATGACATCCAGCTGGTCATGCTCTGGCTACATCTGTGGGGTTGGATAACTTAGGAGCACCTCTGCATTTAACCAGAGTCCTGGAGTCATCTCTTCTATTCAGTTATAATTTTATAACTTTAGAAGTGGCTCTGTTGTTGTAAATCATTAACCTGAATGTTATTTTCTGTTTCATCAGAGATACGCAGGGATATTTTATGGAATTTCATATCTAAACTATTAATTTAGCATAGTAATGATCTCAGTGATCATGTTACCCTCTTACCTATCTGTGATATTTTCTTTATGAGATAGATGTTTTATTTTTTTACTACTCTTTAAATAATATTTTATTTTGGACTGAAAACCATTGATTAATAATGACTATCAAATGCATCTTTATCTGATATGTGTAAGGAATAGCTAGTTACAAGAGAGCATATCATCAAAACACCCCTGAAACACACACACACACACGCACACACACACACACACACACACACACACATTTTTGACCATGCTCCAAATTTCAAATAAAGACAATATATATGATAAATGAAGGTGCTTAATTAGGAATTAAGTATGGTTTAAAGAGATTTGTTTGACTGTCAAGTCAACAAAGGTGATGATTAAGCTTGAATATGTCATCTTGATTAGCATGGGAGCCACTGGGGATTGGTGAAGCACACTTCTGGGAGTGTCTGGGTAGATCTTGGAAGAGTAGTATAGCTGATCCCTCCATTCCTTCCTTTCTGGTGTTGTTTCCCCACTCTATTTCTCTGTCACCATGAGCTAAATATCTTTGCTCTGCCATGAGCCGAATTAATCCTCTCCTCCTTTACCTTGTGTCCCACCAGTGGGAAAGCTGATTAACATGGACGGTTTGAGGATTAGTAAATCACACCCTGGGTATTTGTGGGTGGATTATGGGTAAAAGACCTTAGGGACTATATCTTATCCCTGGCCCCTCATTTTAAACCATTCTCTTGTTCTCTGCTTACTGGATGTCATTTATTGAATTTTTTTCCTCTGGTTTGTCTTTCCATTGTTATGTTTTGCCTTAGAGCCAATCAGCCATGGGAGGAAACCTCTGAAACTGTGAATCAAAATAAATGTCTCTCCTCCGTTGAATTCCATGTGTTAGGTAGTTGTTCCAGTAATAGAAAAACTGAATTGTATAATGTAACAGTGTTTTGAATCCAAAATATTAGTCTTTAACTTAAACTTGTGACTGTTGAGCCATGTTTTTCTCTTCTTGGCATTTAATATCAATAATACTAAGAGAAAAACGGGGAAACTATTAGTTAAACATAGCAAAATGTAGGAAAGTATTTTGATTAATACATTTTTTTCTTGATGCTATGTAAATTTCTTAGACATTACACTAATAAAAACTTTTTCAGTGTGTGCAGAATGGGCTGGTACCGGTCACAGGAGTTGTTGACTGTGCATATCATTTCAACTCCAAGACCAGTCTGTTTGGTAGCCTGAAATTATCAAACATTGGAGAATTTACACCATTAGAAATAGTGATACCAAGCAAGTGCTCACATGTGTAGAAGTCAACATTATGCTATAGACTTTTGCAAAAACAAACTAGGGCTTAACTTTTGGCTTGGAGAAGTGGTTGTCAAACATTTACCACATAGTGTTGTATCAATGTTAATTTCTTAATTTGAGTAATTGTCTTATAATTATGCAAGACAATATGTTTTGTTTCCCTGGCACTAAGGATTGAATCCAAGACCTTGTGCATATATAAGGCAAGCATTCTACCATGGAACTACATGCCTAGCCACTTTAAGGAAATTCTCTCTCTCTCTCTCTCTCTCTCTCTGGCTTTTTGAGACAAGTTCTCATTATGTAGTCCAGGCTGACCTTGTGTTTACTATGTAGTCCACTCTGGCTTTGTTCTTGTAATCTTCCTGCCTTTGCTTCCTGAGTGCTAGGTATGTGTCACCAGGCCTGGATTCTTTGCTTTTAATAAATGCACCCTGAAGTATTTTTGAAGAGATTTGAGTTTTATTTCTCCAATTTACTCTCTAGAAGTTGGGGACATAGATTACATTAATGTATATATATAAT